CCCTGCCCCTCAGCCGTCCCTGTTTCGGAGCAAAGCCCTTCCGGAGGCGCTTCAGCTGGTCCCATTGCCCAGTGGCGAGGAGTGTGTCGAGCCACGCTGACCTGTCGTTGCGTACGGAGCGTTTCACTTCTGCGTGCAGCTGTCTCTCCTGATCCACCCTCCCGCTCAGCCTCGCTTCCGTTCTCTGCTGAATCAGGGACAGCGTCTGCCCAGAGATCCAGGGGCGCTTTGGCGCGAGCTGCAGGCGGGGAATGCAGTCGCCGGCGGCAAGTGGAAAGAACGAGTCATAGCCTCCTCGAGGTCAGTAGCGGTCACCACGTTGCCCCGCGCGGTTTCCGAGAGCATCGCCGCGTCGAACGCCCGTGCAAATTTCTCGCCAGTCGGCCCCCTCAGCGCTTTAAGATCAAGCTGTCGAGGGCGCCGTTTCTTGGGCTCCCGGGGGACGTCGATCTCCAGATCAGCCACAACGAGAAAGTGATGCGAAGCCAGAGCTCGTGAGCGGTCACTGTGAACATGTCGAAGCTGATGCATCCAAGCGGCGGGCATGAGGACAAAATCGATCTGGCCAAAATTGCGTGGCTCGGGAGGGTCAGACGGCTGACAGCCCACATTGTAGCAAGTTATCTGTCTGTCTGCGGGAACATCGAAGTGCGTGTTGCCAACGGCGAGCCTCAGATTCACACACATCTCTATCAAGAGGCTGCGGTTTGATGCTGGGTTGTGCTCAGCCCGGGGGCAGCCGAAGACGTGAGGGCCAAGGACGTCCTCTTCCTGTGGGAAACGACGGTGCGGCCGGGCGTTGCCGTGCCCTGAGATTTTGCGCACAAACTCCCCCAAGTCAGAATAATATTGCTGCCGGTCTTCGAAGCACTTCCCGCTGTGCGGGGCGTAAGCGCTGCAGACCACCGCCTTGCCCCCACGCACCCGCATCTTCAGATAAGCCATGCGTGCATTTTCCTGCCGGAAGCCCACGATGCTTGAACGGAGCCTCGGGGAGACGATGAAGCCCACGCCGGCCGTCTCCTTGTCGTCTGGGTTGGGAGAGCCGGACAAAATGACCAGATACCCCGTCTCTCTTACATAATACTCCGAAGCTGGTTTATGCGTCTCTTGGATGCACAGCACATCAATGTCCAAGGACACCATGTGCCACTCCAGCTCCGTAAACTTTGCCTCCGTGAGCCCCTCCACATTCCACGTGCCAGCGCGGAGCTGCCGGTGGCAAGGCCGAAGGCGTCCGCCGCGGAACTCCTCTGCACGCTCTGCTCGGGATAACGGCGCTGCCTCTGCAGTAGGGCCGACTGCAGGTGAAATCATATCGTCAATGCAATGTTGAATTCGGGAGTGAACAAAATCGTTAATAGCAGGTGTAGGGGCGCCACCTCCACCAGCGGGTGAAACTATGGGTGAAACTCTGCTCATGTGCTGTGTTTGCTAGGCGCGGTGGCCCTTCGCGCCCCCCTTGGTCGCCGTGCCTCCGCCCTTGGTGCCTTTCATGCCCTTCGCCGCTTTCGCCAACAGCTCCGTCGATTTCACGGCCAACTCCTTGATCATAGGGTGATCGTGGAGCTCAGTCCACGTCTTCCACTCCCCCTGCCAGTCGTACTGAACCGTGTTGTTCACCACTGTCGCCGTCAGCGCGTGTTCGCCCCCTACCTTGACGCCGTCAAGCACCTGGGGGAGATCCATGGTTTTTGCCCTCTCGCCCTTTCGCTTCCGGATGCGCTCTTGAGGCCTCAAGAGTGCCCCAGGATGGCTCAAGAGAGCTCCAAGATTGGCCCTGAGAGGCCCCTCGGACAGCCCCAAGCCAGGAGGAGGGGGGGGGGAGGAGGGGGAGGGGGAGGGGGAAGGGGAGGGGGAGGAGGTGGAGGAGGAGGAGGAGGAAGAAGAAGAAGACGAGGAGGAAGACGAGGACGAGGAGGAGGAGGAGGCGAGGAGGAGGAGGAGGAGGAGGAGGAGGAGGAAGAGCCGAAGAGGGTCCCAAGAGGCGATTGTGATGGCCCCGCAGGTGGACCTACGTAGAGGGCCACCCCTTTTCGTCGATGGCCTTCCAGATGGCCCCAGGAGGCCTTACAGGGCCCCCAGGAGGGCCCCAAGAGGGCCCCAAGAGGGCCCCAGGGCGGCCCCATGAGCGTTCCACGAGTGCCCCAAGGTGCGGGTTGCCTCCTCCTCCTCCTCCTCCTCCTCCTCCTCCCTTCGCCTTCCCGCGGGCCCCAAGGATGGCCCGACGAGGCCCTCCAAGGCCGCCCCCTTGCTCCCAAAGATCTGTCCGTTCATCCTGGATGCCCGCCCGCTTTGCTTCACTGCATGTGTCTCTTCATCCCCTGTTCCGTCAGCTCTCATGGGCTGGGCTTCCGAGCGGGCTGGTGGGCTGGTGGGGACACGCGAAGCCTGAGGAATTACACCAGGATCGCGTTCCGGAGGCCAGAACCCTTAGTGAGTCGCGCCAGAGTCGCGCTCCCGAAGCCAGATGTGGCACATTGCGGTGGATTCGCGCTCCCGAAGCCAGAACCCTTTGCAACCTGCACCGAATTCGCGCTCCCAAGGCCAGATGTTGGCAAACTGCATCAGATAGGCACTCCCCGAATCTGAATCCCTCGTCAATTATTCCGAATTCGCGTTCCCGATGCCAGAATCCCTGATGAAGATCACCACATGCATCCTTCGTAACTTAATTCAGATTCGCGCTCCCGAGGCCATAATCCTTTGTAGATTACGATAGGCTCGCTCTGCCGATGCCAGGTTCTATTGTACATCACGCCCGCTTCGCGCCCTGAGAACGAAGCACAGCGTTCAACGGCTCCAGCATCTCAAAGTGCTTGCTGAATGCCGGTCGTCCTCGCCTAATGCCCCCAGAATTCCCTACCTAGGCTCTGCCTAGAAGGGTTCTTACTCTCTTAGCTTAAAGGGGCCGGGCAGTGGAACACGCCCCGGGCGGTTCCCCCAGTCCCCTGGGAGCGGTTCCCCCCAGTCCCCTGGGAGCTTTAGCTTTAGCTTTAGCTTAGCTTTAGCTTAGCTGTAGCTTAGCTTTAGCTTAGCGTTTCGCTTAGCTTTTCGCTTAGCGTTTAGCTTAACTTTAGCTTAGCATTAGCTTAGCATTAGCTTAGCTTGAGCTTAGCTGTAGCTTAGCTGTAGCTTAGCTTTAGCTTAGCTTTAGCTTAGCTGTTGCTCAGCTTTAGCTTAGCTTTAGCTTAGCTGTTGCTCAGCTTTAGCTCAGCTTTAGCTTAGCTTTAGCTTAGCTTTAGCTTAGCTTTGGCTTAGCTTTAGCTTAGCTGTGGCTTAGCTTTAGCTTAGCTTCAGCTTAGCGTTACTGTTACTACTAATGCTGCTTTCCTAGGGGTTCCAACTCCTAGGTAGGGTCGCACTGGGATAATTGTTTTCAAAACAGCGCCAACACGTCCAAACATACACTCGGAACGCTGTCACGGGGACCCCCAGACAAGGAAGGAGGAACCATTGATCCACAGGTTGAACCTTGAGATTCCCCATAGAAATCTACGGACAACCTAAACGAAGCTGTAACACAATTGTGGAACACTGAGCCCCTTCCCAACGAACAGGGCTCCTTCTTCAGCGGCCCGACCGTAGCTCTGGCATCCCCCATTCGAATATAGAGGGGGCCAGCGGCAAAGGGGCAAAGCCATTGCGGATATATCTATATATGTATGTATGTATGTCTATATATATATATGTATCAAGCGTCCAATCAAGCCTTCGTCCTACTCTGGAAAGGCCCGTTTACGGGCTGCGGCTTGAAACACCCAGTGACCATCCGGCTGGCCTCCGTGTGATCGTCTGGGCCAAGGAGGCCTGCGGGATCGTCCCCGACCCCCGACACGAACACCTCCAGGTCGTTCTGGTAGTACACGCTTCCTGCGTTGAAGCCGCGCCACACGGTAGACCAAGTCAGGGTGATCACGTTGGCGCCGTTCTCCAAGGAGCAAACCGCGGTGAAGAGCTTCGTGCGCTTGCGGAAACTGTTCTTGGTGGGCTCCGCGATGGGGCCCCGAGGACGCGTGATCTGGCATTGCGGCACCAGCTGGACGAAAGCTGCCGGATCGTCGGTGGCATTGGTGGACCCAGACGGGGTGTTGACGATCAGCCCCATAGCGGCAGTCTCGTTGAAGACATCGCTGCCGACCGAAAATTCCAGAGAAGTGATGTTGCTCCCCAACTTCTGGCCGAAGACCGACACTTTACGAATGAGGAGGTCGTCGCAATCTTTCAACCCCACATCCTCAATAGTCGCATTGACCACCAAGTCCGCAGCTCCCGTGTCGGACGGGTCGAACCCCCTGGGAATCCCAATCAGATTCCACTCCCCAGGCAGAGTCACATGGAACTTCTCGCCGAGCGTGTTGGTCAACTCCGGGTCCAGGGCGGACACGACGCGGGATCCCATCAACTGCATAGAGTCCTGCGGGTCAGTGACCTGAAGGCCACTGACGGCGGCGACGACGGCTGCGCCGAGAGAAAACCCGAACATCTCGGGAGCGCGGAGATCTGAAGGGGTAGCGGATAAGCGGAAACCGCAGAAACAGGTAACTCATCAAGCCGAAATTCGATCAAGCATGCAAAAGGTTACGATGTCGATGGCAAGAACGCAAACTAGAACGATGACGACGGCAATGCCACTCACGGAACACGTACGTAGAGACATCGGCGATGGAATCATGCAAGCATGCACATAGTCCTGTGCCGACTAGCGAATGCGATTATGAAGACATCAAAACACCGCGATGAGAGGGCACGATCGCGCAACCATGCTCGTAAACGGGGCGCATACGATAAGAACTCCCACTGTGAGAAATCTAGGGGCACGTGTGGCGACAGTCTCTGAGCTTCCTCAGGTGCTCCAGTGCTTCGGCGGATCCCCACAGGCCATCGGGGGATACGACATTTCCGTGGGGCACTTGCTGGCAGGCTGGTGTCTTGCTTGATGCGCCCTCTGTAGCGGCCGTGGTGGTCGTGATGCGCACGGTGAACACAACAGCGCTCTTGCAGCGCATGGTAGGCAGCCTCCAGCACGCCATTGTGCTGCCCAACCACTCCGCTGCCTGACGAGCATGATAGCGATCAACGGCGATGACGCGTGGCGGAAGCGATGTGCCTTTTCGGACTCAACGGTCAGGACGGCGGGGGCCAACCACCTCCACCGACGAACAAAAATCACCCCGCGGCCGCCTCACCAGCCGTGCTCCTAGATTTATAACTCAAGCGTCCAATCAGGCCTTCTTCCTAGTCTGGAAAGGCCCGTTTACGGGCTGCGGCTTGAAACACCCAGTGACCATCCGGCTGGCCTCCGTGTGATCGTCGGGGCCAAGGAGGCCTGCGGGATCGTCCCCGACCCCCGACACGAACACCTCCAGGTCGTTCTGGTAGTACACGCTTCCTGCGTTGAATCCGCGCCACACGGTAGACCAAGTCACGGTGATCACGTTGGCGCCGTTCTCCAGGGAGCAAACCGCGGTGAAGAGCTTCGTGCGCTTGCGGAAACTGTTCTTGGTGGGCTCCGCGATGGGGCCCCGAGGACGCGTGATCTGGCATTGCGGCACCAGCTGGACGAAAGCTGCCGGATCGTCGGTGGCATTGGTGGACCCAGACGGGGTGTTGACGATCAGCCCCATAGCGGCAGTCTCGTTGAAGACATCGCTGCCGACCGAAAATTCCAGAGAAGTGATGTTGCTCCCCAACTTCTGGCCGAAGACCGACACTTTACGAATGAGGAGGTCGTCGCAATCTTTCAACCCCACATCCTCAATAGTCGCATTGACCACCAAGTCCGCAGCTCCCGTGTCGGACGGGTCGAACCCCCTGGGAATCCCAATCAAATTCCACTCCCCAGGCAGAGTCACATGGAACTTCTCGCCGAGCGTGTTGGTCAACTCCGGGTCCAGGGCGGACACGACGCGGGATCCCATCAACTGCATAGAGTCCTGCGGGTCAGTGACCTGAAGGCCACTGACGGCGGCGACGACGGCTGCGCCGAGAGAAAACCCGAACATCTCGGGAGCGCGGAGATCTGAAGGGGTAGCGGATAAGCGGAAACCGCAGAAACAGGTAACTCATCAAGCCGAAATTCGATCAAGCATGCAAAAGGTTACGATGTCGATGGCAAGAACGCAAACTAGAACGATGACGACGGCAATGCCACTCACGGAACACGTACGTAGAGACATCGGCGATGGAATCATGCAAGCATGCACATAGTCCTGTGCCGACTAGCGAATGCGATTATGAAGACATCAAAACACCGCGATGAGAGGGCACGATCGCGCAACCATGCTCGTAAACGGGGCGCATACGATAAGAACTCCCACTGTGAGAAATCTAGGGGCACGTTTGGCGACAGTCTCTGAGCTTCCTCAGGTGCTCCAGTGCTTCGGCGGATCCCCACAGGCCATCGGGGGATACGACATTTCCGTGGGCACTTGCTGGCAGGCTGGTGTCTTGCTTGATGCGCCCACTGTAGCGGCCGTGGTGGTCGTGATGCGCATGGTGAACACAACAACGCTCTTGCAGCGCATGGTAGGCAACCTCCAGCACGCCATTGTGCTGCCCAACCACTCCGCTGCCTGACGAGCATGATAGCGATCAACGGCGATGACGCGTGGCGGAAGCGATGTGCCTTTTCGGACTCAACGGTCAGGACGGCGGGGGCCAACCACCTCCACCGACGAACAAAAATCACCCCGCGGCCGCCTCACCAGCCGTGCTCCTAGATTTATAACTCAAGCGTCCAATCAGGCCTTCTTCCTAGTCTGGAAAGGCCCGTTTACGGGCTGCGGCTTGAAACACCCAGTGACCATCCGGCTGGCCTCCGTGTGATCGTCTGGGCCAAGGAGGCCTGCGGGATCGTCCCCGACCCCCGACACGAACACCTCCAGGTCGTTCTGGTAGTACACGCTTCCTGCGTTGAAGCCGCGCCACACGGTAGACCAAGTCAGGGTGATCACGTTGGCGCCGTTCTCCAGGGAGCAAACCGCGGTGAAGAGCTTCGTGCGCTTGCGGAAACTGTTCTTGGTGGGCTCCGCGATGGGGCCCCGAGGACGCGTGATCTGGCATTGCGGCACCAGCTGGACGAAAGCTGCCGGATCGTCGGTGGCATTGGTGGACCCAGACGGGGTGTTGACGATCAGCCCCATAGCGGCAGTCTCGTTGAAGACATCGCTGCCGACCGAAAATTCCAGAGAAGTGATGTTGCTCCCCAACTTCTGGCCGAAGACCGACACTTTACGAATGAGGAGGTCGTCGCAATCTTTCAACCCCACATCCTCAATAGTCGCATTGACCACCAAGTCCGCAGCTCCTGTGTCGGACGGGTCGAACCCCCTGGGAATCCCAATCAAATTCCACTCCCCAGGCAGAGTCACATGGAACTTCTCGCCGAGCGTGTTGGTCAACTCCGGGTCCAGGGCGGACACGACGCGGGATCCCATCAACTGCATAGGCTCCTGCGGGTCAGTGACTTGCAAGCCACTGACGGCGGCGACAACGGCTGCGCCGAGAGAAAGCCCAAGCATCTCGGGAGCGCGGAGATCTGAACGGGTAGCGGATATGTGGAATCTGGGGGGGCGCTAAAACCAATTTCGAGAAGAATCATGATATGCAACATGGCGATGGCGACCGTGATGATTACGGCAGCAACTGCTCGAAGAGAACGGGGCAGACCATGATCAGATCCACGCGAACGAAAGGGGTAGCATCCAATACCGGCGTGACCAAATACATGAGGTGCTCTTGCGGACTTCTCGCGACCGCGTTCAAGTCATACAACGGTCAACGAAGTTGACATGACGAAGGGAGTTTTATGATGACATCGGATCCTCCAGAAGGTGACACGGTAGCGAGGGAACGATCGAGAAACCGTTCAAACGGACTCAATACTTAAGACCAGACCAGACCACCCTTACGGCAGACGACCCTAAACAGCTTTACACAATTTCGATGGGGGCCACGATGGGGGGTCACGATGGGTGGATCGGGATAAGGATGGGGCTAGGAATACAAGGCTGGGGACGTGGGGATAGGGAACGGGACGTATGATGGGGGTAAGAGGGACAGGGACAGAGGCGACGGGATATAGAGATAGGGGCATGCGCAAAGGTAAACACCAGGAGGCAGCAGAAGATAGCGGGAGACACTAGGGACAATGGGAGACGACGGGAAACGACAGAGGCAAGGTCGCCCGACCGATCCCGGATCCGGCAGCGCACCTACTGGTTCTTTCGAGAAAGGCTATAGGGACCTTAAAGACAAGCCGCTTGGGGAACAACCGCAGAAGGGGAAACTTGTACAGAGGACGGCCAGTGGAAGAGGAGGAGCATTGGTATCGAAAGGAACAGTGGCCCCAGCGGGACACACGCGATAATACTGTTGCATCATATGGGCGATTTCGGAAACCATGAACCCAAAAGCGTTTTCATCTTTTTGAAGCGTCCATTATACTTCCGAAGCGGCCTCGTTTTACTTCCGCCGGCCTTCCGCCGCGGAAGAGATGACAACTCCTTCGATCCTCGAAGGCGAGGCCCTTCTTGGAACGCCCCCCATGTCGGTGCACTCGAAGCCAGCGGCAGGACATCGTATGTAAGGCCAGCTCTGGTATACTGCGCTGTAAGCTGAGCCACGCTGCTTGGAGTTCGCATCTCCTCGGCGAGACCTCCTGGGACCCCACTCTCTTCATGCACAGAGCGGGCGACGGCACTCGCACGGGTGTGTGTATATATATATATATATATATATTACTATTATACGGGAGGAAAAACCCAATCATCATCTTATTAGGGCCATAGGGCCATGGGGCTATAGGGCTATAGGGCTATAAGGCTCTGGGGCTATAGGGCTATATGGCAATAGGGCTATAAGGCTATAGGGCTATAAAGCTTTAGGGCTACAGGGCTGTAGGGCTTTACGGTTATAAAGGCTATAAGGCTACAAGGCTATAGGGCTATAGGGCTATAAGGCTATAGGCCAATAGGGCCACCGGGCACCCTGGCACCTGGGCGTGCCGCCGAAATCGGCGCCACAGCCAACCTAACCATATGAGTCCACTAGGACCCTACAGAGGCAAGCCCTGATTAGGGACTAGACTGGATCTTTGGGGTGCGATGGCCATGTGGCCGGCGTCGCTTCATGGGGGGGAGATGCATGGGGGGGAGAAAGGTGCACTTTCGGGCCCGAAAGGCTTCTATTGGGGCGCCTCAGGGCCCCCAGCCCCCATCGATCGCCCCCCAGTGCGCGACGCCTGAGCTATTGTGCTGCGGCCCCCGCTGGGAAGAAGTCGTGGTCCCGTGCTCCGTGCCATGCGTGCAGACCCGTGCGCAAATACCGATGCTCTTTCGAGTAATAAAAAAAGGACCCCCCGCCCTTTGGGAGGGGACATAAGTTAGGAGGGCCACGAACATAAGGGATAAGGGGTCTCTTCTCTGCAGATGTATCGAACCAAACCGCCCAGATCTATTATCCCTGATGCAGAGACGGGGGCCTCAGTGAGGCCACGTCGTCAATGTGTTATTAGGGTTAGGGTTTTTTGTTCTCGATGATCTTTCGCCCCCCCCCCCCCCGAGAGTGCCCTTGCTCCTGCTCCTGCTCCCGTCGGGTGCGGCGCGGGAAGACCCCCGACGGTGCTCCAAGGTGCTCCAAGGGAGGACCCCGATGAGCTGCAAGGGTCTCCCGATACCCCGACGATGTTCCGTTGGTGCCTCCATGGGCTTCACAAGTGCGTCCCGATGGACTGCGGACAAGGCCAAAGCTGATTTTTGGACGGCGTCCCTGTGCCATCCCGTTTGGGATAACCAGGAATCTTGGAGGTGGGGAGCATGGGAAACATAAGCAGAACTACAACCTCTGAATGCTCTTCTGGGAGGTTTGCTATTCCCGCCAGGTCCACGCGGCGTCTGAGAAGACCAAAGCTCATGCCACCTTCTCTGGCTTCTGCGTCGGCAACCAGACCGCCTATGCCGTCGCGAGCAAGGCGGTCGAGTTTTCGTCTTCACGACTGAGGAGGAGGAGGAGGAGGAGGAGGAGGAGGAGGAGGAGGAGGAGGAGGAGGTAGAGGAGGTCTTGAGGCATAATCGTGACATGAACCTTGCCCCTAATATATTAGCGTGCGTACGAACCATTGCCTGGAAATACGGCGTCAACATGGAGGGTCAGACGGTTCTCAAAAGAGCTAACATCAGGCGAGTTCGCGAAGCTGAAGTGAGTGCTCATCGAATCTCCAGGGAGGCTGATCCAACGAGCTGTTCCAGGTGCGCCCTTGTCCCTGACATGCCCTCACATTGGTGGGTTGCACAAGCTTGCCTGCCCAGAACAATCTGTTGTTGCGGCTGTTGTTAATGGTGTGGCGGTTGCCGTTGTTGTTATTGCTGTTGTTGCTGTTGCTGTCGTTGTTGTGGTGGTTCTGGTTGTGGTTGTGGTAACGGTTGTGTTTGTGAGTGTGGTGGTGGTTGTGATTGTGGTTGTGATGATTGTTGTCGTTGCTGCTGTTGTTGTTGTTGCTGTCGTTGTGGCTGTTGTTGATGATGGTTGTGGTTGCTGGTGTTGTCGCTGTCGTCGTAATAGTAGTAGTAGTAGTAGTAATAGTAGTAGTAGTAGTAGTAGTAGTAGTAGTAGTAGTAGTAGTAGTAGTAGTAGTAGTAGTAGCAGTAGTAGTAGTAGTAGTAGTAGTCGTAGTAGTAGTAGTAGTAGTAGTAGTCGTAGTCGTAGTAGTAGTAGTAGTAGTAGTAGTAGTAGTAGTAGTAGTAGTAAAAATAGTCATAGCAGTAGTCGTCGCAGCAGCAGCAGCAGCAACAGCAGCAGCAGTAGTAGTAGTAGTAGTAGTAATAGTAGTAGTAGTAGTAGTAGTAGTAGTAGTAGTAGTAGTAGTAGTAGTA